GCTCTCCGCCAGCGTGGCTGCCGTGCAGCTATTCCTGGCACCTGGCGCAGCAACCGGCGCAGCCGTCAGCGAAGCCATTGGCGAGACCAATTTGCTGGAGCTGCTGATTGGTCTGCCACAGGTCATTCAGGCAAGCATCGAGCTGCTCATCAACTGCCAACTATTGCTCACTTGTTCCCTCCGTCTACCCACAGCCCTGGCACATCGCGCACACGTCTGCGCTGAGCAGCACCATGGATGCATTGGCTGCGCTGACGCACAGCGCGCCGCTCTGTGCCGAGCAGCTGCGTCTGGCTGGACGCATTGATCGGCTCTTTGGCAGTCTGCGTGACTTTGAAGCGCCGACGACTGCGCTGCTCGATGCCTGTTTCAGTCTGGGCTACAATGCGGAACAGCGTGTGCTGGTGCTGCCCGAGGTCATGCTGCAGCTGCTCCAGTGGCTGCCGGCGCTGCAGGAAGCGGAACAGCTGCACGTCAGCGTGCTGCTGCTCAAGGGCTGCACGGACAACTATGGCACGTGAGTCGCAGCTGGAACTAAAACAAATCCTCCAAATATTGATGTCTTTTTGCTTTCCTGAATCCTAGCAAGACTGTGGCTTGCGGCAGTCGCGTCGTCAAGGCGGTGTGCGCTTGTCTGTTGCAGAGCGAGCTGCTGGTCGAGGCCTGCGCCCAGAATCTGATCAAGCTGATCGAGGAGCTGAGCAAGCTCAGCATTGTTCCCGTCGAGCTCAAGTGCATATTTGCCTTGTTGCGTCGGGGCGCAGAGTTTGCGCAGTGCAAGCAGCTACAACAGGTGATATGTGTTATCCAAATGGAGCAGGCACCATACTAACTCACAGTCAATCCCTTCCAGACGCTTGTCGTGATCGCGTTGCAGAGTTTGCGCGGCAGCAACTGCTGTGCGCAGTATTTTGCCATTGAGCAGCCGGCTGATGGCATTCTGGTGCCCGACATCAAAAACTGGACACTCTCCGGCGCTTATGGCTTCATTCTGCACATGCTCGTCCGTTTCACTGCGCAGCAGGATCAGACGCAATCGGGCAGCACGCGTCGCATGCTGCTCACCCTGCACACGGCCAGCGGTTGTGGCTTTGAGGTCTTTGTCCAGCCCAACGGGCACGTTGTGGTGGCTGCCTTGACACGGCGCGAATACCTGACGACGGCGACGGCCACCAAGACGCTGCTGGACGGACAGTGGCATTATCTAACGGTGGCCATAACGCCGCCCAAGCGGCCCTTCTCCTACAGCCAGATCAATATCTATGTGGATTTTGTGCAGAAGCTCAGCGCCACGCTCAAGGTGCAGCCCGTCAACGAACCCTTCAGCGTCTGCGGCATCGGCGCAGTACTGGCGGCGCCGCCAAAGCAAAGCGATGTGGCCAAAGGTGGCTCCCTGCCGCGTTCCTCATCCCAGGAGAGCGGTCCCGCCTACAAGGGCATGCTGCCCAGTCTGCTGGAGCGCACGCTGTCGACAAATGTAAGCTCCAATCGGGATTGGTTAGATTTAACAATATTAACGAATTATCCGCTGCAGGTGTCCAACTATTTCACACTGCCGCTGCGCACCCAAACGGCCTTCGATCCGAACGTTAAGAACTTTCCCATTGGCATGCAGGATACGGTGTTCGGGGAGCAGGCGTGCCTGCAGGGACATTTGGGCGGCGTGCTGCTGGCGGAGCCAACGACCAGCCTGAAGACCATCTTCGATGCGGGCATGAATTTCAGCTCCATCTTCTCGCAGGACAACGATCTGCTGGAGCTAAATTCGCGCTTTGTTTTCTGCTATGCACCCAACGCTGTTTGGCACGGCAGCTGCCAGGATTTGATACCAGGCGGCAGGTTTCCGGGCCGTATCAGCGCACAGCACTGCAAGACCGTCAAGATACAGGACACCATCAACAGCATTGGCGGCATCAATGCCATGCTGCCCATGCTACATCGTCTGGTCAAGGAGCAGGAGTCGGATGTGTCCATTGGCAGTGTCAGCGATGATTCTGCCACGTCGCCGTCATCGCTGAGAACGCCCATAGCCGAGGAGTTCACCGACTGGGAAATGCTCTCCTCCAACTCGTACACGGAATGGAAGATGATACAGCATCCGCTGGCCAGCCTGCTGTGCCTGCTGCGCTATCTGACCCACGAGCACGAGAACAATCAGCAACAGCTGCTGAGCAGCGAGTGCTTGGCCATCATCGGGACCATGTTGCAGCGTTGTCCGCCGCCCTATTTCGACGTGAACGCCCTGATGGCCACACACCTGCTGATGGAATCGCTGCAGGGTCACAAATCCACGCCAGCGGCTGGCAACAATGCGCAGCTGCTGGACGCTCTCTACGAGCACATTGTCTTTGACTTTGCCATTTGGTCGCGTTTGCAGTTTCAGATAACACTGGGCCACGCTCAATATCTGAGCGCTATGATCAAGAACGATCGCAAGTACTTCCGGCGACGCTACGGCGTGCAGTTCATGCTGGACGTGGTGCGTCAATACTATAGCACGCCGGATAACATTTGCAGCGACGATGCGCGCACAATTCGCGCCACACTCTTCGGCATCGTTCGCTTCTATCTGCAAAAGGACGTCAACATCAAGGAGGTGAATGCAATTGTTGCGTTTCTGGCATCGGTGCGGCAGGAGTTGGTCCTGGTCGAGCTGCTCGAGATGATGACCAACTATGTGCGCGGCAAGAACTGCAAGGATCAGATGGTGCTGTTGCTGCACGAGCCGCAGAGCGCCAATCTTATCTACAATTTCTTCGTGGACAAGAGCTACAACAGCGATATCCAAGAGGCTGCCATCAGAGTAAGTGCATCAATGGGAGCAGCTCAACTGGCACCCGTCTAATGTCTCCCCCTTCACAGTTCCTCGGCGCCTTGCTGGCCACATCGCGTGTGCATCAGAAGTACAAGCAGGTGCTGCGGCTGTACGATCCGAGCAGCGATCAGAGCATGTTTCCCGGTTTCTTTTCCTTCATAACGCCCATGTCGCTCAGCTCCACCATTTTGTTCTATCTGGTGGATGAGATGCTCGGCGCACAGCCCGACTATGGCGGGCTCATGTTTGTCGTCTATCATGTGAGCAGCTGCGATCTGCAGGTGAAGCTGGAGATAGCCCGACGTCTGTTGCAGACCACCTTCGTCAAGCAGCAGTCCACGGCGGCCATCGCCCGGCAGACGGGCTGGCAGGAATCCATCGCTCGGCTGCTCATACGTAAGCCCATAACGTGCGTGCCGCCGGATGAGGAGCGTCGTCGCAGCTTTGGCATCAATATGGACGTGCTGCTGGAGGACAACACCAGTTTTCTGGCACAAGCCGATCTTATTACGTTCTCCGATCAGGAAATTAACCTTGCTCAGCTGCAGCAGCAGCAGGCGCAATCGCAGGAGGAGCACAGCGACAGCGGACTTATACTTAACGAGCTCCAGGCCAGCGTCTCCGAGGCAGCCACTGTCATCGAGAGCGAGATTAAGGGTGAGTGCAGCAAAAGCTTCCTTCCGCTTGCAGCTTGTTTATCCAATTCTTCATCTTCCCGCAGAGCTGGCTGAGTCTGTCTCCGGCGCCGTTGTGGATAATGTCAACAGCGTCTTCTCGGTTATACGCCAGAAGACGCACGATATTCAGGACACCTTCGAGTCGCTCACACAGGGCAATTCCACGGAGACCGACAATACACCTACCGCCTCGCTGCACCGCGAGGAGTCGCTGAGCTCAGAAAGCTCCACGCAGTCGCCGCACGGCCCAGCCAAGAAAAGCGACTCCATGGAGGTTGGTTTTCATCTAAATACAATCGAATCTCTAACTAATCTTTTAATTATTTTAAACAGAGCACCTCCGCCTTTGACTTTATGGCCGAAGGCGATGTGGACACCGAGGAGCAGCTTGTTTATCTGGTCTCGAATACGCTGTTCAATGTTTTCTGGCGCGGCATTGCCAACGATCATCCGCACTGCTGGCAGGAGCGCGGCCAGGTGCTCGGCTGCATCAATCTGTTGGCCTTGAACAACGAGCTGATCACCTCGCATTTGTCGCTACGTCTACGCATCCTGGAAATGGCCGTGCAGGCCTCACTGTTCGACCTCTCCGAACACGGCAGCCAAACGCATATCAATCAGGAGGTGACTCTACCTCAAGCTTCTCTATTGCTCGTACTTATTCTATGCTCCATTTAGAACGCCTCCAATATTCTGCGCATGGTCTACGAGCTGGTCGTGCTGGGCTCGAATGAGGATGAGTCCAAGAAATGTTCCACCAAGCTGTTGGATGGCGTGCTCGCCCTGCTCGATGCTCTGATGATCTTTCAGCAAGGCTCCTCGGAAGATTGGTCGGACATGATACGTTTATATCTGGGTCTGTTGCTCAAGTGTTCGCATCATCCGAATCCCGGCATTGTGGCCATGGCCACGGCCAAACTGCACGCGATACTCCAGAGTCGTGCCACCGAGGATCCCGCGGAGCTCTCCTACCTGCTCTACAGCATCAATCGAGCGCTCGACAATGCCATCGAGGGTGAGTGCCTGCTCGAAATTCCTCTTCAATGTTAATTTACATTCGTTTCAACTCCTTTGCAGTTGGCAATCCGGAGGAGTATTCGTTTTTGATGCCCGTGATGAAGGCGCTGCTAGAGAAATGCCGCTCCGCCTTCAATTTGGACACCACACTGCCCGATCTGCCATCTACATCGTCTGGCCCAGTATTCTTTAACGATTTTCAAATGTATAGCACAAGCAAAAAGTGGCGCAACTTTATGGAACGCATGGTAAGCCGAGAAGTACATGATACTTAAATAATTTAAGGACCCAAATCTAGACAAAATCTCTTAGAGATTCTCAGTTATCTCTCTGATATATCTACCAGAAACTGCAAAATTAGATTATATCAGCTCATATAATTATTATCATTTAATTCCTTAACCTACTCGAAACTTAGCTCTAAATTAAGATAGTCTCACGCATTCGATGCCAATCCCCGTATTGATCCCCCCGCACTGAACTCTTCTCATTTTAATATAGTTTATGATTTTTTGGCAAGTTCTGACGCAGCAAATGGAGCTTACGATCCATTTCCCGATCGCTGAGGGGACTCTTGAAGAGCGTCGTGTCAAAGACGCCTTTCGTGGTGCGCTTCGGCGTCGGGTTTCGCTCCGTGCCGGGCTGTAGGGCTAAAGCGGCTCCGCCTCGCAGCTGTGTGGGTCGCGTGGGTCTAGCACCACGCCCCCCTTGTACCGAGTACTGTTGCTGGGTGGGCGGTGCAAGGGTTCCATCGTAATAGCTCTGCGAACGTGACTTCTCGATGGTGACCACCGTGGAGGCCGTCTCGGGACTGCGATAGCGCGAGGTGCCGCGACTCCGGCCCCGACTGGCCGGCGTAGTCGTTACCACGGTGGGTATAAAGGCGTTGCTGGAGGTGGTGCGCACGCGCATTGGACTCCAGGGTGCCGCCGTGGTCGTCGTCGTCGTTGTTGTTGTCGAGCGCGTCACAAAGTTCAAATAGTTTCGCTTCTGCTCTACGTGGCGGGAGCCGTGTGCCGCCGTGTCCAGCTCGGTGCCACGTACATGCACATGGGACTCCGCATCGTAGGCCTGCTGCAGCTCCGGCACGTCGAGCGTATGTTTCTTGGGAACAACCGCCGCGGAGGGTCGACGCTTGCGCTTCCGGCTGTTTGTCGGCGTTCGGGAGCTGCCCGCAGCATGTGCATCATCCGGCGGCAGCTCGTTGGGTGTGCTCTCGTTTAGAATGGGCGGAAATAGTTCCTGCTCCTCCTTGTTAGATGCCTCGAAGGGTATGGGATCGTAGATGGGCACCTCGTAACTGGACTTGGGAAAGTCAAAGCTCGGGAACTTGTGATTGGGACTGAGCGGCAATTCGTCCGCCGGCGGCGCATAGTCCTCCTGTGGATAGCTCTCGATGGGTAAATGCGTGTCCGGTTGACCGTAGCTGCTGGGCGGATGCTGTGCAGGAGGTTCTGCAAAGGAAATGTCCTGTGGTGGACCTGGTGGTTGATAGTCATGACCAGGGGAAGGCGCAGCTGGCTGATAGCTATGATCAGGTGATGAAGCTGGTGGATGATAGCTATCATGGGACAAGGATGGTGCCTGATAGTCATGACCAGGAGACGCAGGCTGATATTCATGACCAGGAGAAGGTGCTGGCGGGTGATAGTCTTGACCAGGAGACGGAGCTGCTGGCAGATAGCTCTCGTGAGACGAGGAAGGGGGCTGATAACTATCATGGGACGAGGATGGCGGCTGATAGCTGTGTCCAGGAGCGGGCGATGGATAGCTGGGCCTATATTGCGGCTCCTTGGCCTGATAGGAGGTGGAGATCTCGTAGGCGGGCGGCGAGTAAGATATCTCGAAGTTGCCCGAGTGAGAAGGCGGTCCGCGGGGCGGCTCGGCAAAGCTGTGATGGTAGCCGGTATTGGGAATCTTCTGCTCGTAAAGGGAGTACGAGTCAGGAGCAGGTGGTGCAGCCGAATGCGTAAAGCTCGGTACGTGAGGTACACCATACTTGGTGGATGGTGGTGCCGGCGGCGGAGGCGGTGGCGGCGGCTCGTAATGCTGTGGTGCAAAGGAGTCGGGTGCTTCATAGCTGCTCTGATGTTGCGGCGGCACGCCATATTTCTGGTGCGGCTTGTGCTCGTAGGAGGATGACTCCGCGCCACCCGTAAAGCTGTACTCCAGACTGGGAAACTTGTGGGCGCCATAGAGTTGCGGCTCATCGTGGCTGTACAGATCCAGATCCATGGACTGCGCCTCATAGCTGGAGGCGGGTATCTGAAAGTCAGCGCCATCAAATTTCAGATGCTGAAAATCGTCCAGCGAGTAGCTTGGCTCGGAAAACGCCGGTGGCAACGAAGGCTTATAGTAGCCTATGGGCGGTCCCGGCGGATAACTGGGCGGACCATACTTGATCTTGGGCGGAGGCGGACCCTTGTTGCGTCGCCGCTGCTTGCTGCGCTTGCGCAGCCTATACGGCGGATGGCGGCGATATCTGATTAGCTTCTCAGCATTGGGCAGCAGTTCGCTGCCGTTGTTGTTGTTGTCGCTACCCAGCTGCGCCACAGTTGTCTCATTGCTCGGACTCTGCTCGCCCAGCGTCAGTGGAATTAGCAGCAGCAGCTGAAAGACAGGAGATGGGCTAGAGATTTGTTCGTGGTACTTTACAGCTGGCATCAGCTCAACTGTGCTTCATCTGGCAACAGCTACATATTATTAATGAGATGCACTCATGAATATAAAGCTTCTTACAGTGCGATCCTTATGGAATAGTTGGGTGATGGGTGAGATATCCAAAGGGTGAAGCTTCCTTTTTCTTTGAACTAAAACCTAGAATATTGTATGCTAATTCACGAACTCAACCTCAAGGCAGTAAACCGATTCAATGGGGTTGGAGCAGCTTCCTTTTTCCTTAAACAAAAACCTAGAATTTTGGATGTTGGTTGGCTGGCCTACAAGCCTCAGTTCAGGGCAGGGAGTTGGTTTGAGCGTCTAACCTAAGCACCTACAATTTCGATTTACGTTTGCAGCATGTCTGTCGCATGTGCAACTTTCTCTCAGCGACTAACTGCCGCAATTTGGCAACATTTTGAAGATGTCAACCTTTGACTTTTAACCCGTCGCGCCGAGTTGTTGTTGTTGAATGACGCAGTTGCTGCCGCGGCTACTGCTTCCGCGAACACGTAACGCAATCACGAGACTCGCTTGTGCTCCCTGTGCTTGTGCTCCATGTGCTCTTCTCCACCGCCTCCTCCTCCGTCGTAATTGGCTGCCATCGATTGCCGGCTGAGTGCCTGGCATGCGAGCATGCAACAACACTTGCATGCCACAACACTTGCAACCAAGCCGCACGCAACAGCCGCCAAGTCGCAGCCGGGAGGGGGTTAGGGGCAAAGCATTGAACCTGAACACGTCGTCACCAATTCAGGTTCAGCGGGCATCGTAATCCGTTTTGCTGTGCTTTTGTTTTGTTTTGTTCACAGTTTTCCTAACCAGACAATGGCCGCCATGGATGAAGGCGTCCCAATGAATAAGTCCGATGTACTCAAGAGTTGTGGGTGTTGAAGCAATGGAAGATAATTGCCAATCTGCTTGACTTGAGTAATTCCCTTTTTGGGGTAACTAAATTTTGGCTCTTAACTTTAACTTTAAACAGACAGCTTAATCTCAAAGGGGACAAGGTAAAAGTCCTTGACTGTGTGGACAGAAACTCGGAACTTATCTTCCTGTTGGCTAAAGGTCCTATTAGAAATGTAAGCTTAACTAAAAAACTAAGGGCTCACTGAAAGAATTAAAATTATAGCTGAATAGTTGTTTATTCGTGTTACTAACTGAAATAAGAAGGAAGTTTTTGAGTTTTTTAGAAAGTTGGGGACTATCTAACATCCTACAATGTGGGTATAAACCAGACCAGTCTGAATATCTATTCAAAATGTGTCTGTATTTCACTTGAAGATCTTAAGCTTAGCTTTCGATTGTTCTTCTTTAGTAGTTATTTTTCTCTTCACTTGACTTAGGATCCCATTCCTGGAAACATTACAACTCCATATTTCCTTGTATTTAACTTGAAATTGTTTTATCTTCAGGATAAATTTACAACTCTGGCTTTGTCATATTTTTCTCTTGAAGTTCTTCAACTATTATCCCTTTTCCCAGATTTCCCACTTCATTTGAGGCTCTTAACTTTTCACTTTAACTATAATCCCATTCCTAGAACTTTAAGTTCTTGTCTCTTCACTTCATTTTCCAGTGCAACTTCATATTTCCCTGCATTTCACATGAGGTTTTTTTATTTTCACTTGATATTAATATTTAATTGCTGGATCTGTTGAAGTTCTTTGATTGTCACTTGATCTGGGTTCTCACTTACAAGGCACATGCCGCCGAGCCGCATTAGATTCCACATTTCTCGAAGTTTTCAAGGCGTCAAGTTGAACAAAATGCGAACGTTAACAACTTTCATTGGTTGGAGGCAACGTTTTTGATGGTCTCTTGTTGTTGTTGCTTTTTATTGGAGCTCTACTCTAAACGCTTTGGCGCGCACCACGTTCACGACTCGTTGGACTTTCTTTCGGCAACTGAGCGCGCTCCAAGAAAGTGGTCTGGTTTTGTTGCCGGAGACAGCAGAGACGCGTCGTCGTCGTCGTCGTCGTCGCCAGCTGCTGGAACCAGTCGAATGACAAAGCGTTTGCCCATTAAAGCGCCCAACCGAGTGCAGCCCGGGGTGCAGCGCATCGCCCTGGAACAATCGGCTGGCCCTCGTTGGAGCAAGCATTATGTAAAGAATGTCCAAATGCGGATGTCTCCAGCCAAAAATTCAATATCACAATAGCAAAAACTAGACATTCGTAGATCGTCCGATTCGAGTAAAACTCGTTTCAATTGCCAAAGGCCAAACTGCATTCGAGCTGCACGAACGAGCATCGCTTCCTCGAGCCGCGGCAGCATCTGCATCCACATTGAACTTGAACCTGACCGGACGTGACGTGCACCTAGTCTCCTAATCCCGCTCTCCGACTCTGACTTGGAGTTGCACTGAATTGAATCGAGGCAAGGCGAGTGAATGAAAGCGAAAACAAGTCGTGTGAAGAAGAGTGTTAAGCAAATTAGATACCCACTGAAATCAAGGCTTTGCCTACAAAAGAGGTTCCATTTTGGATAATGGAAGAAAGTGTGTTTACTGGAAGAGAACGAAATTTGGTGGATATATAGCTATAATATTCCTTAAGATATGCTCAAAGCTGGAAATCAGTTGGAAAAATCAGGGGCAATCGAGTGAAGCTTTTTATAAATCGATGGATATTGATAGGCTCTCTGATCGATATACTTAGGCTCAGAAAAAGCTGAAGCTTCTTCCTTCAGTGTGATAGAAGGTCCCTTTACCTGGCCCACAAATATGTTTTTCCCATATTGAGAGACTAAAGCCTAATTCTGTCTTTGAGCTACCTTTCAATATACCCGCTTGGGCCACTTTATATACGGTATAACCGGTCTGCGTTTGAGCCTCAATTAAAAACCATCTCCGACTGACATCTGTCACATTTTGTATTATTTACAGGTGAAGCCGCTTTACGATCGCTACCAGCGCGAGATCGAGCTGAATCTGTGGGAGCCAATCAATCGCTTCTGGGCCGAGTGCTACGAGGCATGCAAGGCGGCCTCCAAGCAGCGGGCCAGCTTCCAGGCGGCGAATCGTCGCGTCTTCCAGCAAAAGATCTACATGCCGTGGAAGGTGCGCCAGGTGGAGGAGATGCAGCGCCTACAAAATGCCGCACTGCAGCACAAAACCAACGACAGTCACATACGGAAGAAATGGAAGACAGCCAAGCGTTTCCTCTACGGCCCTAGGGGACCCTGGTTTACGGGGTAAGTCAAAGCCAAAATAGACAAAACCTAGCACCATAATTATAATTATTAATTATGAAATCACGAACGAAAATTCAGCTATTTAATTAAGGCGACAATTGCAAATGGGACGTAAATGATTACATACATGAGAGCACATACATATATATGTTACATATATGTAATATATATGCAACAGGCTGTCAGATATGCTTATATATAGCTGTCAGCTATGAGCTTATGTAGCATATGCCACGCTTTTGTCTTCATTTCACAAATGCACTCATTAATTTCATGTGTCTGTGTGTGCGTGTGTGTGTGTGTGTGTGTGTGTGTGTGTGTGTGTGTGTGTGTGACAGTCACAATGGGGAGAAATCGCTAAAATAATATACAAAAATGTAAGTCGTTTGTTTTTTGGTTAGCTAAACATATAAAAATATCCATTTCGGTTTCACTTTCTAGCTTCAAGCTCAGCTTGATTCATTAGTGTTTCCTATTTTTTAGGCTCGAGTCGTATTGCATATTTTTTAAAGGTCATCAAACCTGAAAAGCTGAAAAGTGATCAACATGATTGATGGAACTAGGGTATTTTCAGGTTGTGCAGTTGTGTGTGTAATAGTCGAGCTAATGTCTGATACAGTTATGTCTCTATTGGCAGATTAAGTTTGTTGTTATCGATAGGTCGTTACGTTTGCTCAACATCGATAAATATCGATATTCAGCTCTGTTTTTTTGAGCCTATCTGAGAGACATAGCTGAGAGCATATCTTGAGGCAGTTAATTAAAAGTTGTGAGGCGAATTCTACTGTTCTACACACTCAGCTTAATTTTATGAAATTGCCCAAAGATCGATAAATATCGATTTTAAGCTTCGTTTCTTGTGCATGTCTGCATGACTAGAGGCATATATTTAACTTAATACAAATTTTACTATGCTCCACACGCAGCACATTTTAATTATTCGTTTTTTAAGTTTAAAGACTTTTGCCCAAAGATCGATAAATATCGATATGCAACCATGGTTATTGACGCTGTAGTGACTATTCATTTTTTGCATACATTTGAGAAGCAACAAATTATAAATACAAATCGGCAAAGACTTAGACTAAGACTTGATTATATATATTTCGAATCATACCTTGAAGTAAATCGAACCACTTTCTATTCTAGTATCATGGAGTTATAGCTCCAAGCGCCAGTTATTTTATAGAACTCTATCGACTGGTTAAAATTTAATGAACTTTTCTCGATTAGCATTGGGATCAGCTTAATATCAAATAGTCCCTTCCCTTTATTTTCTAACAATTTTATTCAGTTTTCAATAGCTTTTCGCCCATTGTACCAGCTCCGTATGTCTGTCAATTGTTGAAAGCTTTCGCTACGTTCGGGCGCCTCATCAGTTGGAGCGCGATTAAAATTACGATTTAATTTTATTAAATCATCAAAAAGGCATTTATGCAATAGCAAAATGTGTAATACGTACAAGACGTGCCAGCAGCGTGTGCAGCCAATGCATAACTGACCCATCCAAGTGGCACCAACAAATCAAATGAAAAATGAAAACTGAGAAAAAAGGCTCAGCTCGCAATTAGTATAAATTTGATTACAAGTAAATGCTTAGGCAACTTGGCCAATTGTCAACCTTGTGACGGTCGAAGCTAACTTACCAACTAAACTGAATGCTGCGTTTTGTGGTGGCAATGTTCTAAGGTCGCACCACTCACACGGTTGGGAAACTAGATCTGGCTCTAGACTAGAAATATGCACTCTAGTTCACTTTTGGCTGGAAACTAGACTAGAAATACGCACTCTAGTTTGCATTGACAGTGACTTAAATTTGTGTTTTAGCCGTGTTGCGACTCAAGGTTTGAACCAGCCTGAAGTTTCTAATCTTTACAAAATATAATTTAAATTAATTCTAAAATATTTGTTGATTAAGAGCCGGAATATCTCTCAACTAATTTCCACTTATGCTATTGTCTTAAGTCAGACAAAATTGTTGGTATATATAACTTCTTTTTCAAATAAATATTTACTATATATCTGGCTCTAGACTGGAAATGCGCATTGACAGGGAGTTGAGTTTGGGGCTTAGCCAGGGCAAATCCAGTGAAGAGTTGCGGTGGTTCGACTTAAGGCTTGAACCAGCCGAAAGGTTTCGAATCTTAAACCCAGCTTGCAAAATACAAAATATAAATTGAAATTAAAATATTTTTATATCTAGACTAGAAATACGCACTAGTTCAAGCCGAGATTCGACTCAGGGTTTGAACCAGCCTAAAGGCTTGAATCTAAGCTAAATTCATCTTACATCTAAAAAAAAAAGGGAAAATATAATTTACTTAATTTGTTATCTTTTACTATTTCTAAGTTCAGACAAAATTAATGTTATATTCATCTTCTTTTGTCAAATATGTACCTATATTATCTGACCTGAAAGACAGCATTGTTGAGGGCTGGCAGATATCCCAATTATATTCTCAATAATATGGTCTTTTTCCTTAGATGAATCGCTTCGGTTTCAGTTTCACTTCACAGTTACAAGAAATTTGTATTCCTTCTTCGAAGTTTTTTCTTTTTGAGCCTGGTCTAAGTCTTACTGGGTCACAAACTTAAATCAATTGCTTCTCATTTTTATTGCATTTCGTCTCAGCATGTTTGAACTTGAGTTAAATAAGGCATAAAAGCGGGTTAGATTTATAGAACTGTGTGTTTTGTTTTTTTGTTTTTTTCTGTTTTTATCGCGGTCGAAACAGCCTTAAGATTAGGTAGACAAGAAAAACATACATGAAAGGCAACGAATGTGAGTGTAGATGAGAGCGGGCGGAATTGGGAAGCCGCCCGAGTGAATTCGTATGTACACGATATGTAGAAGCGATATATATCGCTTGCATTTCAACTAATACTACAACTATCGACTACGACGCTAGGTCAGACGGCAGCCCGCCGCCGGACCACGTGGAGGAGAAATCAAGAGGTCGTCAACATTGCGGTCTTCAGTTTTCTAATCGTGACTTAGTGATAGGCCAGAGGCGAGTAGGCGGGACCCAAAGCCGGACCATGATAAGCCGGAGCCAGAGCTGGGCCATAGGCTGGTGCGTGATAGGCGGGTGCCAGAGCTGGGCCATAGGCTGGTCCGTAGGCTGGCAGCTTGGCCACAACCGGAGCATGCAGCAGCGGAGCCGGTGCCAGAACCTTGGCAACTGGAGCGACAGCCTTGACAGCGACGCCCTCGCGATGGACGACGGCATTGAAACCGTGCACAGGATCTGCGGTATACTCCACAATGCGACGGGTGCCGTCGGCCTCGATCAGCGAGTAGGAGCCCTGGACAACGTCGCCGCTGCGCGACTCCTGCTGGTTCTTTACGTCGCCCGTCGAGCCATCCTGCCGAAACAAAAGACAAGAGTTAGCAAAGGATACGGATTGATCAGACATTCTGCTGATGGACACTTACATGCACATCATAGCTGAAGCTGTACTGTGGATTCGGATCGTATGGCTCGGGTGCGGCCACCTTGGCAACGGCCACCTTGGCCAGGCCGGGATAGACGGGCGCCGCCAGTTTCGGGCGCTCCGAGCGAAGGATATGCGGGCAAAGCGGGCAATGCCAGGCCAGGACCGGGCACCAGCACAGCGCTGGACACGGCCACCAGAGCGCTAAAGACGAGCAACAATTTTTGTGCCATTTTGTGTGTAGATTTAAAGGCGATTTGTAGGCGATTTGTTGGCGATTTGGAGGAGATTTTCTGGAGCTGGAGCTGCTGCTGCTGCTGCTTGGCTGACAAATGAACTCACTCTGTGGTTCTGATGCTGAGCGACAATTGCTTTTTATAGCCAACACCAATCGCGAGCTGCATGCCCAAGCCCCCAAATCCGCAACCAAATCTGCTGCAAAAATATTTATGCAAAAGCAACAACAACAACAACAACAACAAAAACAACTAAAAAGTGCGCATGCGTGTGGAGTATATTGAAAATGCTTGCTAAGATCACAAAATGCAGCAGCAGCAGCAGCAACAAGAAGAAACAAGCAGACCGCTCTAGTCGAATGTGAACGACTAGAAGATGCCCTGTAATCGCATATACATATATATTCCTTCATTGGCCTCACAACTAGCTAAATGCATTCTTAAATAACTTCTGTGATTCTTATTAATTCTCTTAAAGCTGACATTCAAGTGTCACTTAAAGATACCCTGTAAAGGTATATATATATGCCTGCATATTACTTGCTTTGGTCTCGCAATAGTCAAAATGCATGCTTAAATAACTTCTGTGATTCTTAAACAATTTTCACAGCTTAAAGCGGACATTCAAGTGTGACTAGCAGATACCTTGTATATTTATATATATGCCTGCGTATTCCTTCTTTGGTCTTACAATAGAGGAAATGCTTAAGTAACTCCCTACGTACCAAATACCGAGTCTTGAGCTCTTATAACCTTTGTAATATGCTTAAAAATGGTAGCTATCAATCGATATTTATCGATTTAATGCACAGACCCAATAAACTGCAGTTCGATGTTATAATCTCTGGCTAATGTATACCTAATATGCAAATAGATGTCGTTCGACTGTTCCTTAAAGATATGCTTAAGACTGGTAGCTATAAATCGACATTTATCGATAGGTTTGAATCGATATCTATCAATGTATTGCATACACCTAATAAACTGCGTCGATATACGAACAGTTCGATTGTTTTAATCTCTGGCATTTGTATACCTCATATGTAAATAGATGTTACATACTTGGGTCACAATGCCAATACACCTCGCTTATATATAAACAATTGACTACAGGGTATAAAAATGAAAATAATTCATTTTTCGTTGCGTCGCAATTGCCCCTGGCAATTGGCAGTCAGGGCAAATCGAGGAAAAGGGGAAAGGGGGGAACGGAGGGTGGGCGTTAGCTGACTGTCTGTCTGACGGGCGGGGTGCTCGGTCGGGCAGGCCAGACAAAACAGCTTAGGCCTACGAGAATGGCACGCATGTTGTCTGGCTGGGTCGGCCGGCTCGGCTCGGCTCGGCTCCTAGGCGAGTGGTGGACAGGCCAAAATGAATGGATACATGAGCTGCTCGGCGCAACAGTTGCAGCAGCGGGCGGGGATTTGATCGTGACAAAAAAGTTCAATTCGAAAGCGTTTTTTGGGCCGGGTGGCCAGGCGACATCAGGTGTGCGAGTGTGCGTCTGCGCTGGCCAACACACACGCACACACACAGAGACGGGCCACGCACCCAGTCGATTGTTGAAAGGTGTGTGCGTCGCCGTCTCTATGCTAGCTACGAGATCAGCCTTCGAAACTGGCACAAAGCAGCGCCGCGCCGCGCCCAGCAGCAGCAGCACCAGCAGAAACAGTTCACCCCGCAGACTGGCCGACTCCGAATCCGACTGCGAATCCGACATCAACAGCTCCGACTCCCCAACTTGCAGCAGGCAATTGCCACTGCAACAATGTTTTAATACCCTGTAACCAATGAAAGTGGCCAGAAAAACGGGTGTATGACAGTTGGGCATGTGTATGCGACGGACAGAAGAATGTAACTCAAGAACAGCAGCATCAACAGGAGCTTATCTTCTGTTGATATAGATTAGATATAGATAAATGTATAGATATAGATCATAGATCATAGATACTTAGATAGTTAGATACTTAGAAAGTTAGATACTTAGATAGTTAGATACTTGGATATCTTCACAAATTGAAAATTATAAAACGAAATACAATAAATGAATTATATAGATAGAAAGATATAGTTCAAGAATATTTTTATATATTTTAATAGCTCAGTTAACTGCCCCAAGGCCAGAGTCCTATTTATGATTCTTATTATAAATATAAACATTTTTTAATGCGTTTTTAAAGAACAAAAAAATTCAAATAAACTTAGAAGTTGGTGCTGAGCAGAAGCAGACCCGTGAATATATTTAAATACAGGGTATTCACGAGTCGAGCATCCGCGACTAGCCCACTCTTACTTGGTTTTTTCGTACATTTTACTGCCATTGGGACAATTTTGCCCATTATCACTAATTTTGAACGCACGTTGCGCCTTGTTAGGCGTCGCAGTTGCCAGCGGCTGCGTCGACCGCGACCGCGACGGCGACGCCAACGCAGACAGCGACGGCGACAGCGACGTCGGCGGAGACATGCGCAGTTTTGCGTAATCAAAAATTGTATCGCGTCGAGTACTTTCAATTAAGCTATTGAATAATTCGAGTGCGTGTCGATCCGATCGAGTGAATGTTGCAGTTTGCATTGGGAGAGTGTGCTCTGGGTGTTGGGGGCGGTACTTGACTTGGGAGGGGCGGGCTCTTTAGGAAGGCACACGAATTGGAGTACATTTTGTAACGCCTTTAAGCCAAAGTCCTTAGGTTACTTAGAGTAAAAGTCAGCATGAGTAGTGCATCTTTAATAGATATTAAGATAGATATATCCAATAAATATTTCATATATTGTAGAGTATTTGAAGGAAGTGCGTTATGCATTAGTCGCGGTCTTTGAATAGGCCAGTCTTGCTTGGTCTTTGAAAGGGTTTTGTTGGGTCCTGGCTTTTACATTGGCATCGTTTTCTAAAGAGTGGTTTTTATGTCCTTAGGTCAAGACGAAATATGTTGTGCTTAGCTTTATTAGTTACTCGAACTAGCTCGAGCAAAAGAAGAGCATTATGTCCCAGCAAAAGAGGCGAATTATATTCGAAACTCTGCAGATTTGAAGTCAGTTAAGGAGGAATTGTATGTGGAAGAAATCGAATCCACAGAGGGAGCACCTTATTAATACCTTTAATAGCTTGAGCAGTTGAATCAAAATGCATATCTTTTGCATATTTCAAGCAATTTTGTTCAACTCGAAGCCATTTGTCAGCGATTGGATAAACCATAGCCATAGCCATAGCCAGGTGTGCCAACAATTAGCCGGGCTTGTGTTCTCTTTGGCTAACTGGATTTATTAAATGATTTATGAGTTTGGTTAGATCTACAGAACGGACAATAACTTATCTACAAGCTAAGATCAGAAGAATGGAGCAACAGCTGTTGCCTAGCCCAGGAATGGGGCGACTGGACGTGGGCCGACCACGGGAACTGGAGCTGCAACTGCAGCTGGAACTGGACCGCGCTGTACGACCGCATTGAAGCCGTTGATGGGATCGGCCGTGTAGAAAACGGTGCGCAGCGAACCGTCGGCATCGACCACCGAGTAGGAGCCCTTGACCACATCTCCATCACGCACCTCCTGCTGGCTCTTGCTATCTCCGGTGATGGCATCCTGCACATTGTAGGCGTACGCGTATTGTGGATGCGGATCAAAGTCTGTGTTCACGGGCACGCCGGGCAGCAGGGCGCACTCGATGACGGCAAACAGAGCGCAGCTGATGAGGAGAGACTGCAAAGGATTTCAGCTGAGACTTGAACCATTGCCGCTTCCTTCAGTCCAAACTTACCTTGAGCAGAGCCATGTTTAATTATGTTGGATTGCACTGTGGATTGATTGATTGCACTTTCTGGACTGTCTCTTGGAGCTGTTGCTGCGTGGTTTTAAACGCTTTGCCAACCGTCACCCGGTTGCCAAAAGTGACCCAATGTCTGCGCTGACGCAAGGCGCATTCCGTGTCGGGAACACACAAAAGTTTCCTCAATGCACGTGCCAACAACAATTTGCACAATCCCAGCACCCAAGCGCTGGGCTTTATGACAATCATAACTTTAACTGCGGCACGTGCTGTGCATTAATAGCTTCCCATTTCGGCCCGTCTTGAGGTTGAGGTCGAACCTACCTCAACGGCGATGAAAATATACATGACTAAGCTATCAACCTTCGAAGAAATCAATAGAGTGTATTTGACTTGGAAACAGCATTAGATAAGAAATTGGCTGTAGATGAACTCTGGGTTCATTTGTCTGCAATTGATCCAAAACTGAATTCCTTCCTTTCGTCAGAAAGCAACTCTTCAGTGGTAGCTGGAGGACTTTGGTCGTTGGACCAAGAGCTGTAGGCATGTGGAGAAGAGAATTACAAGACTTCAAGTCCTTATTCCAGAGGCAGCAGAAATTGGGCTGATTCTATAGACTTCCTTCCTTCCCATCAATGAAAGTAAAGGCTGCTCTTTCTTTGTATCCAAACTTGTGCTGATTCTATAGACTTCCTTCCATTCCAACAATCAAAGTGAAGGATGTTCTCCTCCTTTTTTTTTTTTGTACCGAAACTTTTATTCAGTAGATGCATTTTATAAATCACTAGATAAATGGCCGATAGCCGTTTACCGAAATCCCCTAGAAACGGTATCCCTAGAAGCTAGATGGACCACATGATACGGAGTTGGCTTTCAGTGGAGGACAGCACGCACGTCATTTTTGTGTTTCGGATGGTTTTGGAAGCGAAATTGTGTATGTAATACTAGAACTATTCAACAACGGTCGGGACTGAGTTGGGCATCAAGCGAGAACCCCGGGCGAGCGTCTAGTAGTGTCCGCCATAGCCGGAGCCGCCGTAGGCGGGCGCGGCGTATCCAATCTTGGTGACCGTGGGCAGCGCCACCTTGGCGACGGCCAGGGCGGGCTTGGCGACAACGGCCACGCCCTTCTTCTCGACAACCGCATTGAAGCCGTTCACTTTGTCCGCGGTGTAGGTCACCTTGCGTATGGTGCCATCCGGTTCGGCCAGGGAGTAGCTGCCGTGTACGACGCCATTGACAAGCGACTCCTCCTGCTGTTTGGAGTCGCCCGTGTGGTGATCGGTAACGCCGTACGAGAAGCTGTACTGTGGATTCGGATCGTAGGGCTCGGGCACGGCCACCTTGGCCACCGCCAAGGCTGGTGCTGGGGCGGCTATGTAGGCGGGCGCTGCATGCTGCACCAGGGTGGGCGTGGCCAGCAGCTTGGGCGCCGCATAGGAAATGGCCGGCGCCGCAAGCAGCGAGGGGCCATAGGGATCAATGGGTATGGCGAGCGCCATGGACAGCGCCAATCCAAGCACGCACACAGTCTGCCGGGATTAGATGAGAATGAGAAGTGGAGTCCATGAAGGACATGCTGCCAGTCGAGAGGCTTACCTGAGCGAACATTCTATTGGAATTCCTTTTCCTTTTTTGTTTTTTTTTATTTTTTTAGTTGACTAAAGGCGCGCGACTGCACTGCAAGAACTCGGCTCGAATGTGAGATGCATTTTCCGCCAGTTCTTCAGTTTTATATATGCGATCCGTTGTCGCGCTTAACCATTTCTGGCAGCCAGTTGATATCCCTCCCTGCCGTCCCTCTTCACCTCTTCATCCACTCGACTTGTCCAGCTGGTCTAGCTAAATGGCTAAGTGACAATTGCTTTGACTTGGCGTCTCATTTCGTGCTTTAGATCTCGATCTCGCACCCCGTCCTCAAGCCGAGCGATGCACATGCTCGAGCTCTAGCTCTAGCTCAAATCTCGTGCTCCTAGTGGCAATTTCATGTTTTTCTGCTGCACATTTCGTCATTTCCAGCCAACTGTTTTGCCAGTTTTTCTCAATGGAATAGCTCCACATTCACACACTGAGCCGCAATGCGTGCACTCAAGAGCGCCGCTCCAAATCTTTCAACTGGCGGCCAAGAGACTTGTTTTCCGCTGCGCCCCCGTCAACAAAAAACACGCAAGACTCGGCATTGCCTGACTTAGAGATACCCGTCTATAAGAAACCCGACTATACATTTAATATCCGATAAGGTCTAGAAACAAGTCTCATAGTTCATCTCAACTGTTGAGTCTGAGACACAAATATACTTTAAAACTTATGGGATATAATAATAAGCCCAAACGAATATACCCCTTTTGTGAATGGCTTGCAGGGCATTAAACCAGATCTCGGCCAATTCTCAGGTTCTCCAAACGTTTTGTCTGATGTAATATCGCGATTCACTTGGCCAATGGCCAGTTTTGCTGGGCAGGCCGAATCCAAATCGAATACAAGACTGCAGCCATTCATGGCTCCCCCCCTCAGCCCGCTCACTCCCCCTCGCCTCCCTGTTGTCTCTCTATCGCTGAGCATTCGATTCGTTTAATTAGAAATCGAAAATGGAAGCAATTGATCAATAGGGGGGCTGGAGGGGGGCAGAGAGAGAGAGGGCGTGTGTGCGTGTCTGTGTGGCGTGCAGATCAAGCAATTACGCACAGTCACACACACACACACACACGCACACACTCATACGGTACAGACACACACACATGCGCCCACATTCGCTATTGCAGAAATGCCGTCCAAACCAAATGACCTTGCCACAATTGCCAGCGAATGAGTTGACCACGTTTCTAACTTAACTTAATTACGCACTGACTAGCCCCTCCTCCGCCTTCCTTCCCCTCTTCCAGCGTCTTGCCAGTGCCAGTCTCCCATTTGGCAACTGCTTTTAGGCAGGAAATTCTACGAGTCTTAATGAATCAAATCTAAACAAGAAATCCTTTTAAAAAAACTAAAACATTGCCATAGACAAATTCCGAGGGAGCGCAAATTTGAATAGACGTCTTTACCAAATATTGGAAAGCTTTTAAATGGGAGGAAATTCATCTTTCACTTATTTTTAACTACTACGACCAGATAATAATAATTTTCTATATCATACAGTAGACATATGAAACCTTGATATATCATGTCTTAAGCTTTAAGTTTTTTCTTACTTCTCACTCATTCTATATCATTCAAATACGCTTGCGCTGACATGATTTCTACAAAAAATACATACATGTATACATGCGTGCATACATACATGTATACATGCGTACATGCATATATGCGTACATGCATACATGCATGCATGCATGCATGCATGCATGCAAGCATGCATACATACATACATGCATATATACATACATACATACATACATGCATACATACATACATACATGCATACATACATACATGCATACATACATATATACCTACATACATACATACATACATACATACATGCATACATACATACATACGACTTACCCGCCCACCTCATGCTGCGACGCCGCCTCCTGCTCCTCCGCCACCAGTTGCTCCACCACAGCCAACGTTTCCTGCCTTGTTGAATTTCAGCAGAGCCTACTAGAATTCTTGAGAATCGAGGAGGAGAGCACTTGGTAGAAATTCGTTATTTTTGAATTTGCAAATATTCTTTGTCTGCATTTTGTATTACAAAACCAATACATACATACATACATACATAAATGAACACATACATGCATACACTAACACACACACACATGCATATACGCACGCACATATATAAAAGTTATGTGCCTTCGTAAAAATAAATATATATATAAAACTGTTTGTCCTAACTGACGGATTGACTGGCGGAAGGACTGACGGACGGACTGACGGACGGACTGACAAACGGACTGACTTATTGTCTGATAAAATGACTTATTGACTGACTGATTGTAGTCTCCTTAAATAATGAAGATGTACCTTAAGATGGTATTTCGGAAAATTGAAAAATCGCGAAAAACGCTTGTAGTATTGAATTTAACTAGTATTGGATATTTCGAATTTGATATTTTACCATTGCATTTTATATAACATTTTCAAATGTAATTATTTAAATTAAATTTCCTAACTTTATTATTTGATATACGCTGAAAAGTGACGCAATTGGAACTCGGTTATTGCAATTTATGGACTACAAATTTGACAAGTAAAAGTCCGCAAAACTTGTAGAACACAAATTCAGAAATCACGCTACCATTTAAGGAATCTTGTGACATGCTGCGGCTCGGCTCAAGTTTTTTGTTCGTCTCATTTTTGCTGTCAATTTCCGGTGACAACCGTTAAAAGTGCGTCTTCAGTGTGGCCAAGCGGTGAGCGGTTGGCCGTTAGTCGGGCGAGCGGTGCTGCCAAGTTTGCCAACAAGTCGCAAGGTCGTGCGCGCTGCATTTGTTAACCGAGTCACGCCCCGGCGCGTTAAACCGTTCGAAATCAGGTCAAATCTGCAGCAGTAGCCAGCTGGAAGTGGGTTAAAAGATCTACGACACAGTTTCTACGGGCTACTTTTTAAACTATTTATGGCTGATATTTTTATTTTATTTTTGTTTTTTATTTTAATAAACCAGTTGCAATCACGTAAGAGAAACCCCTGCTCGTACTCCCTTGGCATTTCTAATTACAACTTTCGACGCGGCTGAAATAAGCAATTCATAATCGTTTATCGAATATCGAATATTGATTTTGGTTAAAGATCAAAGCAATTTAAGTTTACCTTAATTTAATAACCAAAAGCATTAGAAGATGCGCATTAGACTGGGCCCAAATAAGCAAGTATTCATTTAATAATCGTTTATCGATTATCGAATATGGGATGTTGTTACTTAAAGATCCAACTAATGCACATTAGTTAATCTAAGTTTAATAACTAAAGTCTTCGCAATTCATTAGATGATTCCCATGAGGCTGGACCCAATCTGCCAAGCCTCAATTAAATACTCGTTTATCGATTATCGATTATCGATAATTGATTATCGTTAGTTATAGTAAATCTGAAATAGCTTAAAAAATTTTAGACGCGTTTTTATACAATCTATTTCGGCATCGCGATTAAATTTCGTGTGTTTTTTTTAGTTTTTATTTTTTGGGTGTAAAAGAAAATTAAAGTATTGCCATTGAATGGCGGCTGCATGACAATTACCAAAAGCCCAAAAGAAAAAAACAAAAAACGAAGGAAAAAAAACAAATACCGAAAACAAAATTCACTTTCGTAGCCATGGAACATGGATTCGGAGCAGGGCCCCAGAGCGAGCTCTGGCTCTGACAACAGAAAATTTGTTCGACGTGCCGCGAATTTGGATCAAAAGGCAGACGCTGCTGCCAAGCTGCCAGCTTGGCGACTTGGAACGCGGTTCCATCAGCTGCTGCTGCCCGGGCGTCCAAAGCAAATGCAAATTTCGCGAATTGGAGCTGTATAAAAGTCGACGTAGTTTTGGTCATGGCATGTCAGTTCATTTTTGTTAACCGACGGTGATAATCAAATCCTAATCCCCCAAGCCGCACAATGAATCCTTTTACGGTAAGTTCGGGCTGCGCCTAGAGATTCATATTGGATACCAATTGGATTCGCTTTGCAGGTTGTTGCAGTCCTCTCCACCCTGGCCCTGTCGGCTCAGGCGCACTTTGCTGCCGCTCCCGCTCCCCTGGCTGCCGCGCCCTACTTTGCGCCGGCTGCTTACTCTGCTCCGCTGCGCTATGCTGCTCCGGCTGCCTACTCGGCGGCACCTCTGGGCTTTGCCGCTCCGGCTGCCTACTCCGCACCGCTGGGCTTTGCTCCAGCTGCTCCCTATGCTGCTCCTCTGGCGTACTCCTCTCCCCTGGTTGCCAAGACCTTCGCCCCGGCTCCAGTTGCAGCTCCTCTGGCTGCTGCCCCTCTGGCTGCTGCTCCAGTTGCTGCTCCTCTGGCTGCTGCCCCCGTCGCTGCTCCCCTGGCTGCTGCTCCAGTTGCTGCTCCCCTGGCTGCTGCCCCGCTGGCTGCTGCTCCAGAGATCGTCGATGCTCATCCACAGTACAAGTTCGCCTATGATGTCCAGGATACGCTGACCGGCGACTCCAAGACCCAGGAGGAGACTCGCGATGGCGATGTTGTGCGCGGCTCCTACTCGCTGATCGAAGCCGACGGCTCGCGCCGCATTGTTAGCTACTATGCCGATGACATCAATGGCTTCAATGCCGTCGTCCAGAAGGATGTGCCCGTTGTGGCGCCCGTCGCTCCAGTTGCGCCCGTCGTCGCCAAGCTCCGCAGCTTTGCGGCACCAGTTGCTGCGCCCGCTCCGGTGCTCGCCAAGACCCTGGCCGCACCCATTGTTGTCTAAATGTGGGCGGAGCATTAAAAATGGGGCGTGTCGTCTTGCTTGCGCCTTTGTGTAAATGGATTGCACACAGTTTGACAAAGGATTTTCATTTGTACATATTCGATTAATCATTGTCGTGCTTATCTAAAAAGAAAACTTTCATCGTTAACCCAAAATTAAATAAATTACCTAAACAAATTTGTGATTCCCAAGCCGAGCTTTGTGTTTTTTATTGTTTGATTCAGTTAGAGCAGAATTGATTTACCCTTGAGACTCTTCTATGCGAAAGTGCCCGACTTGGGGATACCCTGAACCAACCTCTACCAACCCGAAATGCACTTCGGGCTACGCGCACTTTGACCTAAGCAATCAGCCAGTCCCACATAATCCACAACTATACCAAGAATCAAGTTTCTGCCGTTCCACCAACATCATATCTATCCAGGGAAGTTTCTTTTCTCAGATCGTCGAAGCTATTTCACTTTAAAATGAGATTATCTCATTCACGTTCCAAATTTGGAGTCTCTTGCTATTGTAGGTTCTGATTTCGAAGTGTTCATATATACGGACGGACGGATGGACAGACAGACGCACAGACGGATAGATCAAAATTTCCCACCCCCATAACTTGGCCAAAACTCATCCGATTTTCACGAGGTTACATTTTTTGTTAATGGTTTGGCCTCTAGATCAATTCTGCATCAAATTCTAGATACACTATTTTTGGTCGAAATTCATGTTAAAATTTTACCCTCATATATCCTATATAGACATAAGTCAAAATTTCCCACCCCCATAACTTGGCCAAAACTCATCCGATTTTCACGAGGTTACATTTTTTGTTAATGGTTTGGCCTCTAGATCAATTCTGCATCAAATTCTAGATACACTATTTTTGGTCGAAATTCATGTTAAAATTTTACCCTCGTATATCCTATATAGACATAAGTCTAGACTTCTCACCCCCATAACTTGGCCAAAACTCATCCGATTTTCACGAGGTTACATTTTTTGTTAATGATTTGGCATCTAGATCAATTCTGCATCAAATTCTAGATACACTATTTTTGGTCGAAATTCATGTTAAAATTTTACCCTCATATATCCTATATAGACATAAGTCAAAACTTCTCACCCCCATAACTTGGCCAAAACTCAACCGATTTTCATAAGGTTTAGCTTTTTGTCCATGGTTTGGCCTCTAGATCAATTCTGCATCAAAATCTAGATACACTATTTTTGATCGAAATTCATGTTAAAATTTTACCCTCATATATCCCATATAGACATAAGTCAAAACTTCTCACCCTCATAACTTGGCCAAAACTCAACCGATTTTCATAATGTTTGGCTTTTTGTTCATGGTTTGGCCTCTAGATCAATTCTGCATCAAATTCTAGATACACTATTTTTGGTCGAAATTCATGTTAAAATTTTACCCTCATATATCCCATATAGACATAAGTCAAAACTTCTCACCCCCATAACTTGGCCAAAACTCATCCGATTTTCACGAGGTTACGTTTTTTGTTAATGGTTTGGCCTCTAGATCAATTCTGCATCAAATTCTAGATACACTATTTTTGGTCGAAATTCATGTTAAAATTTTACCCTCATATATCCCATATAGACATAAGTCAAAATTTCCCACCCCCATAACTTGGCCAAAACTCATCCGATTTTCACGAGGTTACATTTTTTGTTAATGGTTTGGCCTCTAGATCAATTCTGCATCAAATTCTAGATGCACTATTTTTGGTCGAAATTCATGTTAAAATTTTACCCTCGTATATCCTATATAGACATAAGTCTAGACTTCTCACCCCCATAACTTGGCCAAAACTCAACCGATTTTCATAATGTTTGGCTTTTTGTTAATGGTTTGGCCTCTAGATCAATTCTGCATCAAATTCTAGATACACTATTTTTGGTCGAAATTCATGTTAAAATTTTACCCTCATATATCCCATATAGACATAAGTCAAAACTTCTCACCCCCATAACTCGGCCAAAACTCAACCGATTTTCATAAGGTTTAGCTTTTTGTCCATGGTTTGGTCTCTAGATCAATTCTGAATCAAAATCTAGGTTTGTAGGTTTGTTTTTGTTTAAGCCTTGGATAATCAATTCTTTCTTGATCTTACTGACCTGATTTCCTTTCTTTCTTGCAGAGAGCTAACTGAGGAGTTTTGGAAGCTGTCGCCACACGAAAATGTGGCACGCATGCGCTTGAAGCTGGAGCCGCAGCTGTATCCCAACAAGCACGAGAACGCCGCCAATCTGCGGGACAATGCGACCAATGCCTACGACACAAAGTGAGCAGCTGCCGAAATAAACCTTTTGATTATCACTGATGACCCTTTTTATCATAGAGAAATATCCGAGTTTGACTCGACCATCAAGAATGCGGTGGTGCGCGATTTCCTGGCCGATGACGAGAGCTCCCAGCTGGAGGAGGAGCTGCGCCAGCTGATCGACACACAATCGCAGCAGGATGCCGCATTGGAGAAGCTGGTCATGTCGCAGGACTGCGAGCTGATAACCCTAATGACCAAGGTCAAGGGTCGCATTGAGGTCAACCAAAGCGTGTTCACCTTCGTCGATCTGAGTCCGCCCCTGGAGGATGGCTCCAAGCACGATTTCAGGTGAGTCCAAGATTTTAAGAGCCGCTTCGAGTAGATACTTCAAAGTTTCCTTTCGCTGTTTCTTCAGGTTTTCCATCAACAAAATCCGTGAGGTTCATCTGCGCAAATATAATCTGCGCCGCAGCGCCCTCGAGATCTTTCTGATCGATCAGACCAGCTATTTTCTCAACTTTACGACCAAGGTGGGCGAGATTCATAATTGCAATTGCTTGACTGCGGGTCATCCAATATAATCAAGTCCTTCTGTCACAAATGCTATAAAGTGCCTCAGTTCTTAAGCTCTATTATTCCATGTTCCAGACTCGCAACAAGGTCTTCACCAAAATCGTGGGTCTGCCCTTGCCGAACATCTTGTACGGATCCGGTCGCTCGCCTCCGGAACTGTTGCGCGCTTCGGGTCTGACCCAGCGCTGGGTCAATCGTGAGATATCCAATTTTGAGTACTTGATGTACCTAAACACCATAGCTGGTAGGTCACAACAGAGCCCTGGCTGCCCATCTTGCATCAACCCTTTGTGTTATTCCTTCACGCAGGCCGCTCGTACAACGATCTGAGCCAGTATCCCGTCTTCCCCTGGATTCTGGCTGACTACACCAGCGACGTGCTGGACCTGACCGATCCGCGTTCCTTTCGTGACCTATCCAAGCCAATTGGATGCGTAAGTAGATATACAAATGGAGCCTATCCTCTTTTAATAACTCTGCGCGCAGATCAATCCCAAGAACGAGGCGGAGGTGCGCAGCAAATACGATTCCTTTGAGGATCCCTCGGGTGCCATACCAAAGTTCCACTATGGAACACACTACTCGAACTCGGCGGGCGTGCTGCACTATCTGCTGCGCGTTGAACCCTTCACCTCGCTGCACGTTGAGCTGCAGAGCGGCCGCTTCGATGTGGCCGACCGACAATTTCACTCGATACCGCAAACGTGGAAGCTACTAATGGACAATCCCAACGATGTCAAGGAGCTAATACCCGAATTCTTCTATTTTCCGGAGTTTCTCAAGAACATGAACAAGTATATGGCTTTTCTTTTTACGGGCATCCCTCAGGTCTTATCTCCCATATACTTTCAGATTTGACTTGGGTCATTTGCAAATCACCAAAGAGAAGGTCGACGATGTTATCCTGCCCGCCTGGGCGAACACGCCCGAAGAGTTCATAGCCATACATCGGCGTGCCTTGGAATCGGAATACGTTAGCCAGCATTTGCATCACTGGATCGACCTGATCTTTGGCTACAAACAGAAGGGCGCCAAGGCCGTTGAAGCGCTGAATGTGTTCTACTATTGCTCCTACGAGGGCGCCGTCGACCTGGACAAAATAACCAATCCCATTGAGCGTGAGGCCGTCGAAGGTAGTCCAAATTCAGTTCAGTTCAGTTCAGCTCAGATTCTAATCGAGGCGATCCCTTCCAGGCATGATCAACAACTTTGGCCAGGTGCCGTCGCAGCTGCTGCGCGAGCCACATCCGCGCCGGCTCACCCAGGACGAGACGGCGCTGAAGCTGGTGCGCGCCGAGCTGAAGCGGCCCGATTTCACCCAGTTCCTGGACAAGGTGGTGCAGTACTATTGTGAGCTGTCCACGGCCAAGGATCCGATCGTGTACCTGAGTCCGCCGCGCAGTCCGCCGCGCTCCTTTTTGCAGCTCAGTCCCGATGTGCTGGTCAGCGTCTCGAAGGGCGGCATTCTGGGCTGCAACTCGTGGATGTCCTACGACAAGGAGCAGGGATTTCTGCTGGAAATCGATGCGACCACAACAAATCTTAAGTGCGTCGTCCAGCTGCCAGCTGCTGTTCCTAATCCAGCTCATTTATTGATATATTTTTCATGGTGCTTTTTAGAAATCGGAAACGCGTCTTTGGACCCTTTCACCCCTCGCAGCCGCCGCACTCGCAAAACTTTGCGGTCAGCACCGATGGCAAGCTACTCTACGCCGGCGGCATTTGGGACAATGCGCTGCGCGTCTACAGCCTGAACAAGGGCAAGACCTTGGCCTCGGTGACGCGCCATTTGGACATTATCACCTGCCTGGCGCTGGATAATTGTGGCTCGTATCTGGTCACCGGTTCGCGCGACTGCACCTCCATTGTGTGGAGCATACAGGGAGGCAATCAGCAGAGCAGCATGCCCAGCAGCAACATTCCAGTCCACGCCCTGACAGGACAATCCCATATGCAGGCCATAACCCAGCTCAACACCCAGAACAGTTACTCGCCAAAGCCTCTGACTGTGCTCTATGGCCATGACGACGCTGTCTCCAGTGTGGCCATCTACACGGAACTGGATCTCGTTGTCTCCGGCTCGCTGGTGAGTGTGACAGCAAAAAATCCATGTAGAAACGGGTTGCCTGATTGATTGACTGATGATTGAGCTAGAAACTGTATAAAACTGTCTACCACGATTGAGAGATTGACTGATGGCCGGATTGACGGGCTGACGACCAAAGGACAGCTTAAAAATTAAGAAAAAGAGTTAGACTGATTGATTGATTGACTGATTGACTGACTGATGATCAGGGCACCGACTAAGACTCTTATACATACAACTGTACGTAAAATTGTCTAGCAC